ACATTAATATAAAATTATAAATCTTCATATATGACACACTTTGAATTAAATTTAAATTAATAAAATGTGAAGAATTTCAGTCTACTTTTTAAGGCCCTTGGTCCAGGCATTGCACATCGTGCGCATCTCCTTCACACTGCATCATAAGTTATGCAGTCTGGCAGGCTTTTGCAATCAACACCTGAACTGGAACTTCAAGGCACCTATCAATCTACGTCCAGGGTGAAACGGCTATTATGGTGCTGTCATTTCACACCATCAGCGAACCAGGCTTATGCGCTGCGCGGTGCCAGTTCAATTCGCTTCATATGTGCCGGGCCATTCCTGGCCATTCTGACGTCAAGCAACGCGCTGGCAATCGAGTGCGACAGGCTGGCTTTGCAACTGATGGAGCTGGACCTGCTGGCTGAGGCTTGTCGCCCTGTCGACTCTTGATGTGGAGATGTTGCCCTGAAACTCCTACACAAAACAAAATATGGGATTTGTTGTCTTAACAAGGGCAGAGTGAAAAACATCAAACAGCGATACGATTGTCTTACTAAGCAGTTCAACTACAGTAAACGGTTTGGGCGTCAGCTCTAGCGAATGGGTGAGTGATACACTAGCTCTACCCATGACAAGAGTAACTCAAAGTACCGTCAAAACTTTGGATTATGTTTGTATATTATATTATAATTCCACTCTAAAATCTTCAATCTGCGACTTCTACTGATTCTATTTATATTTTTATACCCTGAACCCATTGAAAATGGGAAATCAGGGTATAATGGTTTTGTTGAAATGTATGTAACAGGCAGAAGGATCAGGGCGACGAGCTGAGTCGATTTGGCCCTGTCCGTCTGTCTGTCTGTCCGTCTGTCCGTCTGTCCGTATGTTTGAACGCGTCGATTTCCGAAGATATAAGAGCTAGAGACTTGAATTTTTTTTTTAAATGACCGTATATACAGCGCGGACGTCGAGTTTGCTTTTAAAATTCGATAAATCATCCCGTTATGTTTTTATCGAGTAAAAACATTCAAGTTCAAATCAGATGCCNGCAGCAGTGAATCTATTTGAGTTTTGCCAGCGCCACTAGCAGGAGTGAGGTGGCCTAGTGTGTTAGCTGCATGACGCTCGATCGAGGAGTCGCGGTTCGAATCCCGGTCGATGCAACTGATGTTAGTTTTTTTTAATTGTTTCAAAATATTTGTATATTTTATTAAATGAGTTTGGTATTTTATTTATATTTTTAAATACATCGAAATTGAAATTTCAGCCATACTAAATGAGCATTTTTATTTGTTGGGTTCAGGGTAGTATCTAGTCGAGCACTCTCGACTAGAATTTTCTTACTTGTTTCTTTATACACACTTTTATTTTAATTTCATTTTATTTATATTTCTGTGATTAATATTTGATTGCATTGGCAATTGGTATCGAAAAGTGTGTAAGCTCATTAAAAATGAAATCGCGCTATCGCAATCATCACATAGCTGGTTTTGCAGCTGCATTCACCACTCAAGGTCGGAGGGATTATACCGCTGTGGTATGTGGAGCGTGCAGCGTAGTGGTGATGGAAAAGTCTCGGCTATTAATAGTCGTAGCTCAACGTCAGGTCATGGCACGTCACTCGAATTATACGCAGCTTAATGGCCATATAAATGATGATGCCAACAGCTCGGCGAACTAATTGCCGACTTGAAATATTGCTGAGGAGCTGACGAACACGCCCACAACTAATCGATACACACTCTAAAATCACACACGTTTATTGATCGATAATTGCGTTGCAATGCGAAAGGCCATTGAAGGCAACGAGCTTGCCCGGGCAAATTGTTGCATTTGACCCATTAACTGTGGGCAGCCAGGAGGAGCCTCTGCTATGGTCCGTCTACGCATTCCACTCCATTTGCGGGGCTGAGTGTGTAGCCAAACTATTTCTATGACTGCTCTGCAATGGTTTCACTTTGTAAATTTACCTTCTGTCGAATTGTGTGTGGGACACATTTTGCGTGACGTTTGCTAATTAAACTAAATTTCATTATTTGCATGTATTGAGCTCGAGACATCACCAAGGACCAGTCAGGCTAATTAAATGCAATTTACTAAGCCATGCACAACTGCCGAGTCATCTGGAAGAAAACTGATGACTTGCAGACTATAGAACCTCATCGAGCCCAAAGCAAAACAAAGCGAAGCAAAGCAGCAGCATCAATTATACTAATTTCCTGCAATTGCAGTTGCAGTTGCATTTACAGTTGGCTCTGCAATTTGCTGTTGCAGTGGCACTTTTTGTTTACTAGGAAATATTTTTGAATTTCTATCTCTCAGTTAAAAAAAAATTTTTTTTTTTTCTCTCATGTTGGTTTTTCTAGTTGTTTGCAAATTGCTTTCAGCTCCGCTGGCCGTTATTTTGGTTTGCCTTTTTTTAGCCAAAAACTCTTTTAGTTAAAGTTGGCCAACTGGCTAAACCTTGGGCTAGTTGAAAAGTTTAGAGATAGTTTATTGAAATAAAAATAGACTGATTAAGCTGTTCAACAAATTGAGTGGCGCTCATAAGGAATGGTATTTAAGGGAATTCCACAAAATTTCTAATGACTTTTACTACTACTATATTACAAAATCCTAACATTTAATTTTAGAGAAATAAATGGATATGGAAAATATGAATGAAACACATAAAAGATAGAGATTTTAATAGAATTGTATTTAGAAATAACTTGTAAAATAATGCAAAATTTAACAAATTCGTATTCATATGGAGTAAAACAAGTATTTAAAAAATCACTTATTACTATATAGATACGAAAAGGCTAATTATTATGATTCCCTCTTAACTTAATTCATGTTTGTATTCAAATTAAATATTCAAAACCTATAGTAGTATTGCCATGATTCCAATAGTGAGCATAAACAAATATTCCGCTAGGAATCGTATGCTTCATCTTGATTGTTCCAGGAACTGTTACTGCATTCGCAATTACTCCCGACCCCTTCGGTGCCAGCATGGGATTGGTTAGCAAAACACCGAACGAATTGATGATGGCATCAACAGTGGCCTCCGAGATGTCGATTGGAATGCCTAGCAGCGGGCCACACACATTCAGTTTCATGATTATCTCAGATTCTGGAGAGGCAGAAATGTGATTTCAATCATAATGATGTGCAGTCTGAGATATGTTGACACCGCTTTGAGTGTCGAGTTGCTATGAGAATGCGCGACAGTGAGTAAAGAATAATTATATGCCAAGTTATCTTATTGTTCGAACTATAGAAATACTTTACAATTATTGTCATATGAAGCAGATGCACGTTAATATGGCTCATTCCTGAAATGGCCCTCAATGCCTGGACCACAACGAGGAACCAAACAGC